AGGGAAGGGGCCAGTCTCTAAGGGCAGCGTGCGCAGGTACAGTTGTGCTTAGTGCACTGCTGTGTGAGGGGCCACAGCCAGCCAGAGTATTGCTGGGAGGAGGACGAAACCAGCTGCCACACAGCAAGGGCCCCGCTCTTGTGGGCATCAGATGTAAGCTCAGGGTTACGCAGTTCTGAGTCTTAGGAAGGGGCTTTTCAGACATAGTGTTCACTTTCTGCCGAGATAGGGAATGCGTCACTCTGCCAGAGTACAACTTTTTACAGATTATTAAATAAAGCTGTATATGTCTCATTGTTACCCGATTCCTGGTATTATTTCTTTCAAGCCACGCACTGGGGCTCGGGGTGGAACCAAGTCACTATATATGGGCTTTGTGCTGGGCATTTTCACATACTTGATCATTATTTCACCCAAGAAGAAATTAAGACTCTGGATAAATAATTTGCCCAAGGTCATACCAGTAAACCCATCCAGGTTTGAACTCCAAGCCCATCTGACACACCTCTATTCCTGTCAAACCAAAAATTGTGAGAAGCGTGATCATGCAGTTTATGGAGGAGGAGAGCTCAGGTCTCAGAAAGGCGTTCCGCATTTCACCCCTGCCATCTATGTGGGGTTGCTGGGTCCCACCCCAATGTAGTAATCTGCAACCACTTGCCTGGGTTCCTCAAACAGGCCAGGCTGTATTTCTCCAGAAATGGCTCTCTTTGTACCCACCAGTGGTATCAGGAGGCCACCACCTTGGATCAGTCTTAAACGATCCAGGGGCTACTGCTACGATATAGAACATCAAGGTTGCTGTATCTGTGGGAGATACTTGTAAAATGGCATAGAACCTGCTCATTCTGGGAGAGGAGATGAAGCAAATACATGTGGACAGATACAGGTCACCAAGCTGAGTTCCTGACAATACAGGATAACGGCTCTTGAGCTGGAGGTGGTCTGATGGTCACAGTTACTTTTAAAACCCACATCACTCCAGCCTTCATAAATTTACCTGACAGGTCACCTGCTTTCCCACCTTAACTCTGTGCCGGGAGTCAGGCCCCAACTGACTACACTTGACTGGTCCATACTATACTTTTTCCTCTCTTCATTTTCATTTCCTTGCTCCCTGTTTAGTCCAAAAACACTCGGGTGCCTGCCTTGTGAGAGTCAAGGAAGTGGCCAGGCAGACTATACAAGATGATTGTGTAAAGCTCTTCCATATAACTCATCTTACCCAGTTCTCATGGCACCCCTGCAAATTGGTCAGGTCTGTTGTACAGACAAAAAACGGCTGAGGAGAGTTAAGTGTTTTGGTCAAGGTCACCGAGCCTGAAAAATTTCCCAGTTCTTCCAAAATCGATGCATTTTCATATTCAGCCTTTATTGAGCATCTACTGTAGGCTGGGGCCCTTTGCACCTTCCTATAGGTTTCCAAATAATGGTCCAGTGAGGTAACATGCTAGTCCCATTTTATGGATGAGAAACCGGCCTAGAGGTAACTACAAATGGTTACACAACTAGTAAGCGGCAAATCTGGGAGTTTCTCAGGTGGCTTCTTGGACCTCACCTTGAGGCCAGTCTGAAAGTCTTTCCTGTCTGATAAGAAGATAGACGTCAGAATGGTATGCAGACAGGAGCAGGAGGGTGGGCCTGTGCTCCCTCTCCTCCCTGCCATGGGCCACATCCTTGAGTGGCCATCATGGAGACAGGATGTGTCTCCATTCTGGCTTCTTCAGCTCTTCACACCAAGTACCCATGGAGTTAAGTATCAAACCAGCCTTCCCTGGGAGAAAGGGAGAACCTGAGCTGGAGTGTGCCCTAGCTGGCAGGGCCCCAGTAAAGGCTTCATAGACTGAGCTGGAGTCAGGAGCTATTTCAGGGCCATTTTGTGTTAAAAAGCATGTCTCGGGGGTGGGGGTGGGGGGGTTCAGTCTGTTAAGATTCTGCCTTGCGCTCAGGTTATGATCCCACAGTCCTGGAATCAGCCCTGAGTCAGGCTCCCTGCTCAGCAGGGGAGTCTGCTTCTCCCTCTCCCTCTGCCCCTCCCCTGCTTGTACTCGCTCGCTCCCTCATTCACTCTCTCAAAATCTTTTTTTTTTTTAAGATTTTATTTATTTATTTGACAGAGACACAGTGAGAGAGGGAACACAAGCAGGGGGAGTGGGAGAGGGAGAACAGGCTTCCCGTGGAGCAGGGAGCCTGATGCAGGGCTCGATCCCAGGACCCTGGGATCATGACCTGAGCCGAAGGCAGACATTTAACTGACAGCCACCCAGGCGCCCCTCAAATAAAATCTTTAAGAAAAAAAAATCATGTCTCCAGGAATACTAAGCCCCTAATGGAAAGGCAGCAGTAGGTGTGGTTATTTAGATAATGACTGAAGGTAACACACCAATCAAAGGCAATTCTGTCAGAAATTTCTTTATCCTAGCTGAGTGACACTCAGATTTGGGCTGTGCATCAGAACACCTGGAGGGCTCGTGGAAAGCAATTGCTGGCCCCACCTAATGGAGTTTCTGATTTAGTAGCTCTGAGATGGGGCTCAAGAATTTGCATGTCTAACAAATTCACAGATGATGCTGAGGCTGCTGTCCTAGGACCACACTTGGAGAACCACTATCCAGGTCTTGTTACTCAAAGTGTGGTTCATGGACCAGCAATATGGGTATTGCCTGGGAGTTGTTAATGCAGAGTCTTCAGTCCCACCCCAGGCCCACCGAACTAGAATCTGCCATTTAACAAGATCCCCAAGGGATACCTATCCACATTAAAGGGTAGGACACATCCCTCCAAGGCAGTGCTTCCCCCAAAGCCAGTTGAGGGCAACTCTTGGAGTATATAAAATTCAGATTCCTAGGCTTTCCTCGGGTGACTTGGATTCAGAAGATGGAGGAGGAGCCCAGGAATCTGATACCGACAAGAACTTCAGATGATTATAATGCTCAGGTAAGAATGGGAAACTCCTCATTTACCTCAGTTCTGTGTTCCTCAGGCAAGACCAAGGCACAAAACCAGAGAAAAACCTCTCCCTCTGGGATCATGACAAGGCAGCTGCTTAAAACAGGAACTTGGGGAAGGTGGCTCCTTGATGGTCTGTGATGCCGTCAGAGGAAATGGGTGGTTGTGAGAACCACAGAGCCTGCAGATGTGAGCTGGGAGCCCCAAGGACCCTATGACAAAGCTCAAAGAGCCCTGGGCCTTCTTCCCTGGCCTGGCTGTGCTTGGGAGGGCTGTCCAGGGTGGGGGGGTCCCTAAGAAGCACCAGTCTCCTGTCCCATCCCAGGTCTACAAACTGCTGACCACAGCAGATGCAGAGCCACACAAAGGGATACCAAGAACATCTCCCTGAAGAGTCTCCCAGGCTGAGAGGATTCTGGGTGTCCTAGGACTAAGGACTTCGGCAGATGTTCCAAAGGGCCTTCCAAAGCCCTAACCTCTCCAGCCAAAGCATGCATCTAAGCTGAGCCCCTGCCCCAAGCTTTGATGACAGGAAACCAAGTAAGTACATTTGCTTTTGTTTTCTGATGGCCCCGGGACTGTGAGGAAGGATGGTCCCCTCAGAGGCTGGGAGTGGGCTTTACAGTGGGGGGACAAGTTCCAGGAAAATAAGTTGTTCTGTTGACGATGTAAGAGGGTAGTTTTGAGGGTCCCTGAAGGAACCCAGGCTCCCCCATTCCGCCTTTGCCCGCCCCCCCCCCCCCAAGAATTATATTATGCCTGTGAGCTTGTCTTCATGCCTGTTCTGGTCCTATCTTGGTCACCAGCATGCTTGTAGGACTTTGGGGCCCCCTCTGGGCTCCAGCCTTCCAACATCAGTGAATGAGAGGAGTCTGAATTATAATCTCTGAAGGCATTTTTGGCTTAGAGTCGAAAGGGTGATGTTTCTCAGTTGAGAGAGAGGTCTCCCTTTAGCTCAATCCAAAATCATCACTCTTACTTTCACCACTAAAAAATGGCTTCAGAAGCACAAAAACACAAAAGACGTGGATTTGTAGACCCAGCTCTGCACTAACCAACTGCGTGAGAGTGAGCACGAGGTTGCCCTCTCTGAGCCCTCATCGTTGTATGTGAATGGGTTTCAAAGCTGCCAGGCTCTCACAGGATACAGTGAAAAGATCAAAAAACAACAGCAGTCAGTGTGCTCATTTCAGCGGCCTTTACTCTTTCCTTCTACCCACTGGCTCGGGACCCCAAGAAAGTGCCTAGCACACAGTAAATTGTTCAAATACGTGTGCAATTAATTAGATTCTTTCTAAAGTTTTGACCAACATCACCTCCCAGGCCTGCATACCCCGTGGTCTTCATTTCACCCCAGGAAGCTGCCTGGCCCTGACCAGGCCAGGTGAAGGGAGCTGGCAGAGGTCAGGGAAGGGGGATGCTTCCAGCCTGAGTGTGGCTCTCCTACCTCTCTTGGGTCCATCTCCCAGCTCCACCTGCTGTAGGAAGAAGTCTTTGGGTTTAGTGCAATTGGTGATTGTGGTAACTTTGTCTTCCTGAAGGAGGGGAAGGAAACTAACCTTTACTGAGCACCCACTCTATGTCAGCTCCCCGAATTCTCCCCACAGCCCAGTGGAGTTGGTACTATCCCCAATTCAAAGACAAGACAGAGGCTACGTGCTTTGTGTGAGGAGGTCACACAGCTGGAGACTGGTTGGTCTGAATGAATCACTCATGCTACCCAGGAGAGATCTCTCCCTGAGGTTTTCTGGACTCATGTCTGCACAGTTAAGCATAGAGCTTGTATCTGATACCCCAGGGGAAAGGATAGGCTAGGGAGCAGCAGGGATGTTGAAAACCTTATGTGAAGGGGAGCCCTAGCAGTGAGCGCATTAGAGATCTCCTCAGGAAGCAGAATTCTGTCTCGGCCTGCCAAGGCTTCAGGATCCCAAAGTCTGAGCAGGAAGTGGCTGCCAGGAGCCATTTCCTAAAGATGGGCCAGTTTTGTATTAAGGAGCTCCAGCCTTATGAGTACAGAACTCTCCATGATAATGACAGAAACCCATCCTTACCCAGGCATGGTGAAGGGTTCAAAGGCAAGGCCAGAGCCTGCTATGTCCCTGTGCCATTCCGTGAGCTCCTCCAGGGAACCAAGCTGGTATAATTATTCCTCGTCTCCATGAAAAGGATGAAACCATCTGAAAGAATGAAACCACCTCCCTGAAACACTTCAATAAAATGTTCGAAAAAATTAGCATTACTCTGGAAATTAAAATTATTTAAGGATAAGACACCTGTCCAAAGAGCTAATAATCACTTTGTCCATTTAGTTAATGTGTGTTGAGTGCCTTTTATGGGCCAGGTGCCTCATGAATTGTTGAGGAAACAGGCAAACAAAAATAGGTCTTTGTCCTCATTGAGCTATGGAATAATGGCAAATTAAACAAGTAAACACTCTAATAAATAAATAATTAAAATTTGGGAAGGGGGGCACGCTGGCTCAGTCAGTAGAGCATGTGACTCTGGATCTCAGGGTTGTGAGTTCGAGCCCTATGTTGGGTGTAAAGATTACAAAATAAAATCTTCAAAAAAAAAAAAAAGCAACAACCACCTTGGGAAGGAATGCAACAGAGCTGAGAAAAAGAAAAAAGGGCAAGTCTCCCAGGAGTGGCCTCTGGTGAAGCGACATTCAGAGCACAATAAAGAAAAAGTGTGCCCTGACCAAGCTTCTCACGTGCCTTATCTTTTGGACCCAAATGTTGGGTATTAGTATCCCCATTTTTCAGATGAGGAAATGGAAGCAAAGAGCAGGGAAGTGGCTGGACAGCCAATCCCTCCAAAGCCTTGCAAGTCATCACTGTGGTGTACAGTCTCCCAATCATCTTACTTCGCCCTGGGACACCCATAACAGTGTGCTCAGTGTCACCTTAGCTTGTTAGGACACCAGCTCCCAAGCTTCCTCAGATCCCCCTTGCCCACCTCTAACCCTAGTCATGGGTCCTCTCATTGTCCCCTGCCAGTGTGATCCCAGGTCAGGAAATGGTTCTGGGTAGATTATAGGAATGATGGCTGGGGGATTCAGAGAAATCTTCCCAGGGAAGGGTGGGATCCAGACAGGCCCCCAGGGGAAAGGGCAGTCCAGCCAGTGGGAGGGGCCCCACACAGGTAAAGGCCCAGAAACAAAGAATAGAGCATGGCTGCGGCGTGGAAAAGTGGGCCCACCAGAGGAACCAGGGTCCAGCTTCAGAGAAGAGAGCCTCCAGAATCTAGTGGAGGGGCTGGAGCCTAGTCCTGCTGGGAGAGGGATCATTCACTCTTGTCAGCAGGGCTGAGCTGGGGAGGGAGAGGGTGTCTGGGGACCAGGGCCTCTGTGTCCACTGCAGCATCTCTTTCAGATTTCTCTCGGCCATGTACTTCTGAGTGTTCTGCTGAGGAACGATGGGAGGTCAGCCCAGCAGAGGGAAAACCCTGCCAAGCCCAAGCTCGAGCCCCTCTGTCCGAGAACCGGGCCCTGTGCCCATGCAAGCAGGTAGGCTTCCCAGACACAGTAAGGCTTCACGGCCCCAGACATCGCTGCCTCTGTGAGCCTTCCTGACCAGCCACTCCAGCACAGCTTCAAGTTTCAATGAGCGCCTGCTATATCCCAGGCCCTTCCCCGTGAACCATACAGGCAGGGTCCCTCCTCTGGAGGAGCTTACATTTCAGCAGTCAGAACACTGGTAAGCTAGAAAATGTGGGCGAGTGACAGGTGCTGACCAGGAGAGCTTCCCTCCTCCTCCGTTTATTAGGAAATTGAGCTGGCAACTCGTAAGACCTCTCCAAAGGTCTCCAAAGCTCTCCAAAGCTGCCCTGTCCGTTATAATAGCCTCCAGCCGTCTGTGGCCATTTAAATTCAAAGTAAAGTTCATTAAAATGAAATTAAGTTAAATATGTAGCTCCTCGGTCACACCAGCCGCATTTTGAGTGCTCAGTAGCCATGTGTAGCTAGTGGCTACCTATCGGACAGCACAGTTACGGAACATTTCCTTCATCACAGGAAGTTCTACTGGACAGTGTGGCTCTCCAAAGTATGTCTTCTTACCCCGTGAAATACCGGAAGCCAAATTAGAACTATGGCAGTTGGAAAAAATTGGGACCTATAATGCTATGCTGAGCCTACGACTGTGATTTTCAAGATAGTCCTAACTAAAAAATGCCAGTTGTTTTTGTTTTTTTTAAAGATTGTATTCATTTATTTGAGAGAGAATGAGAGAGACAGAGCATGGGAGCGGGGAGGGTCAGCGGGAGAAGCAGACTCCCCGCCGAGCAGGGAGCCCGATGCGGGACTCGATCCCGGGACTCCAGGATCATGACCCAAGCCGAAGGCAGTCGCTTAACTGACTGAGCCACCCAGGCGCCCTCTTTTTTTTTTTTTTTTTTTTAAGATTTTATTTTTTTTTTTTATTTTTTTAAGATTTTATTTATTTTTTTTTTTAAGATTTTATTTATTGATTTGACAGAGACTGCAAGAGAGGGACTGCAGGGGGAGTGGGAGAGGGAGAAGCAGACTCCCCGCCGAGCAGGGAGCCTGATGCGGGACTCGATCCCGGGACTCCAGGATCATGACCTGAGCCGAAGGCAGTCACCCAACCAACTGAGCCACCGAGGTGCCCAAAAAAAATGCCAGTTTTTAAGACAATGAGAAAATCAAAATATCCTAGAAATTCTATTATTTTCATATTGAAACTATAGGCCCAGTTTGTTTGTTGTTCCCCCAAACGACCCACAAATCCTTTCTCAAATCATATCCTGATTTGGGGTTTTGATGATGTATTCATCGGGGTTCTCTGGAGAAACAGAACCAATAGGGTATGTGTACATGGGTGTGGGGGGGGGTGGGTGGGGGTGTGTGTGTGTGTAGACACAGAATTTATTTTAAGAAATTGGTTCATGCAACTGTGGGGGCTGGCAAGGCTGAAATCTGCTGGGCAGGCTAGCAAGCCAGAGGCCCAAGGAAGAGTTAATGCTGCAGAATTCCAGAGTCAAGTCTGGAAATCCCTCTCCCTTGCAGGACCTGAGTCTTTTTCTCTTAAGATCTTCCACTGACTGGATGAGGCCCACCCACATTATGGAGGGTAATCAGCTTTATTCAGAGTCTACTGACTTAAATTGTTATCTCATCTTAAAAACATCTTCACAGCAACATCTAGACTTCTAGACTGGTGTTTGACCCAGTATCTGGGTACTGTGGGCTAGCCACATTGACACACAAAATTAACCATCACAGATAACAAATCACTCTAAACCAAGCAGCACTTTTAGGAGGAAGGACATGGACACACACTTAAACAGAACCAGGAGACTGTAGAGCCAAATATCTGGATGCCTGTGTTTGGGCAGAAGCTATCCCCAGTCTGGAAACTCCCCTGCAATGGCTGGGGCCTCCTCCCCTCCTCGGCCCTGCCCCTAATACATTCCTCTCTCTAATGCCAGCCTCCCACAGGCATTAACACCCTGGGCACTGTCATTCTCTTGGTGGGGAAGCAGCTGCCTCCTTTTAGTCACTCAGTCTGCAGGGAGCTGGGGGCCCACCAGGCCCTGCAGGAAGAGACCTGGAAACCACACAGACCTCCCCCTCATTTCCTCTGAATCTAGCCATAGGCTGCAGCCCCAAGGCTGCTCTGAGTCATGGCCAGAGTGCTGGGGGGCTGACCCCCAGTGGGTGCTCTGGGGGCTCTCCCTGCCTGTGAGACCTGAGGGGAACGCATTTCCCTCTCTGACAGGGTCTCCAGGGGGAAGGAAGGGCCTGTCTCTTGGTATGTCAACCCCTGAGCCCAGCAGGAACACAGATTTGGGGCAGCCCCTTCCATGAGTCATTTGTCTATCAGCCTTGCATCCATCCAAAATCTACCAAGGCTCTACCCCATACCGGGCCTTGTGCCAGGAGCAGGGGGACATAGCAATGGACAAGATAGGCACAGTCCTTGCCTTCAGGGACAGTCAAGCCCCAGATACAGGCTCTGTTATAATTGTGTACAATTTTGGTGACAGTGCATTTTAAGGGACTCTGATTAAGAGTGTGTGCTTAGGGACTCATCAGGAAGGCTTCACCAAGGAAGGGACATTTTATCCAAGACGTGAAAGGTGCAGGCGAGTCGGCCAGGCAGATGGGTCAATCGGGGACAGCATATGCAGCCCAGTGGCAACCAGGGGCACAATGCCAGGGCTTCCAGGGGGGGAAGGGGTCCTTCCAGGCCACTTGGTTTCCCCCTTGTTGGAGGATGCTTTCCACAAGACTTGCTTGCATTGTTTATTCGGGCATCAGGCATTTCCCGGCACCATGGGACGGCCAGGCCCTGTGCTGCTGACGGCTCTGAGGAGCTCCAGTCCAGGGTCACCACGTAGATCTGCACATGTGTCTGGGAGGACACATAGGAACCAGCCCTTTTCCAGGATCACAGTCTCATTCTTCCCATGTCCACCTGGAGTATAGGCCCTTAGGCCACACAGTGTCCAGCTCTGGGTCTGCCCCACTGATGCCCCATCCCCTTGGTCCTTGTCTTTCCATCTGCTCTCTCTCCCCTATCTCTGGGGACATCTGTCTAGACGGTATCACAGAACCCTCTGAGGTCTTGCCTCCTGCAGGAGCATCTATGAGACAGATAAACTTTTCATGCTGACCTTGACTGCTTTTCATAGCTTGATGCACTGATGTGCTGACAAGTGTGTCTCTCTTTTCCCTTTGTTTCAGAGACCCCTACTGAAAAGGGATGAAGAGGAAGGAGAGGGAGGGACACTGGGATGTGGGTGAAGTGAATCTCAGCAGCTTACGGAGGGCAGGTTTTTCAGGATGAGAAGGCCCAGACAGGTATCAGGAGGTCTAGTTAGACTAGGTGGGCTGATCCCTGAGGTAGATGAGGGCATGAGCATCCTGTGCTGAGGGAGCTGCTTGCCACCTACCATCCAACCTCAGAATTGTCCTCATGGCTGCCATGTCCTTGGGATCAATCTTGGTGTGATGGTGTGGGGGAGAGGGGAAGCTTGGCAGCCTCTGGCTCTGTGACTCCCTCTCTGAATGTTAGTGTCCCAGCGAGCCTGGGCCTTTTTGGAGAGGTGCTACTGCTGTCTAGCCAAGTCCCTCCAACCTGGGCCCATGAGTAGCCACAATGGTCACCCACCCCAACAGTGCCCCATGGGCAGAGGGATAGGGAATGGCATAGGAGCCATTCCTGGCACAGTGCCGTGTCTCACCTCAGTTGCCTCGCTGTGTGATGGGGCTGACCAGAGAGGACTACCTCAGGGGCTTGTGAGGGCCGGAGTGATGCACCCAGTCAGGCCCTGACACTCAGCAGTTGCTCAGTAAAGGATGGCAGGCATGTGGCCAGGACAGGACACTTGACTGGGCCACATGTACCTGTTGGGTGTCTGCTCTGAGCCAGGCCTGGCCCCGCCTCTTCTTGGGGCAGCACGGACCTATACCTGTCATTCTGGACAAAAGCCATGGGAGAGCCATGCTACCCACATGCATGGCACGCTAGAGTTACAAAGCCTGTCCACATCTGTGATTTCACTGGCCCTTCCACCAGCCCTCTTCCTCCCATGCGTACCCCGGACCTCAGCCCTAAAGGTTAGTCCATTCAGTGCCCCCATCATTAGAACTTCCAGAAACTGCCTTCTAGAAACTGAGCTCCAAGATCTGTGCTGATACCTGCTTAGAGCTATAGTTTTTAAGTTTGCTGAGCAGCAGAATCATTTTATCAAGATCTTCTTGAACGTCTCCATATAAAAAGCAATTGTAGCCAGGAGCCCTACTCCTCTTGCCACACCAGTCCTTTCCCTGAGTGACCCCAAAAGATGTCTGGGCATCTGTAGGGCTCTGTAGAGGCCACTGGAAAAGCTTCAGATTCCAGAGTAGCCCTCCTGGGATCCCAGCAGACATGCTCCCCAGGGTGTTCATGGCGGGGTTGGGTTGATGGTAGAAAGCCCAGACTCCACTAGACTTCACATGTGGAGAGAAGACTAGCCAAGAGGGTGACCATCTCTGTCCCTCCCTCCAGAGAGAAGCAGGGCCACAGCTGTGGCCCTGGGCAGTTTCCCGGTAGGCGAGCACACAGAGCTGTCACTGAGACCGGGGGATCCGTTGACCATCATCTCTGAGTAAGTCCTGTCCTAATGGGGGGGGAGGGGGGGGAATTCTGCTTCCTCCCCCTGGCACCTGAGGATGCACTCATGGGAGAAGGGGCCCCTCACTCCGGGAGTAAAGAGCATGGCCTTTGGCACTGAGCTCACACGTGGCCCTAATCGTGGGATTTAGGAAGTCTGACACAGCTGTAGGGAGAAGCCTTGGGTAGGCAGGGCCTTGCAGGGGGCCCTGAATCGTGCCATTTCCTGCCCAGGAGGTAGCAGCACTGGCCGGTGCAGGCGGAAGGAGCCAGACTGGCAGGTCCTCAGGAAGCCTAAATGAGCAGTTCCCCTCTCCTTTCTCTCCCCAGAGATGGAGACTGGTGGACGGTGATGTCAGAAGTTTCAGGCACAGAATACAGCATCCCCAGCAGTCATGTGGCCAAAATCTCCCATGGGTGAGTTCACACCCCAGGCCCTGCCTTAGGGGAACTTCCTGCTTTCTCTTCCCACGAGCGTGGTTCTTTATGGCCAGTTCTGTGCTGAGCAAAATGGGACAGGGGAGAATCAGGCCTGGGCCCTGCCCTCAGGAAGAGTGAACAGCTAGCCTGAGCTCTCAGGTCGGCCTGCGAGACTTGGGAGCCCAGAAGAGGGGGCTCAGGAAGGCCCCACAGAGATGTCCTCTGGGCTTTGGAGGGTGTCCGGGAGTCAGTGGAGGAGACTGCTGGAAGGGAGCAGCTGCATACGTGTCCTAAATGTCCTGAGGCAAGAAAATGGAGGGGTGGTGCCCCATATCTTGCAAGTGTGCCCTTCTAAGAGGGGCCTCACAGTGGGCAGGACATGGGGGATGCCATCACTCGCCACGAGTGAGTGACAAAAGAAACCAACTCCAGAGCAAATTCTATGTCATGAGAGAGAAGGAAGGGAACTGCCTTTCGGTGGGATTAACCCGCATAACACGGAGTCAGGAGGTATGCTGTGATGGCCGCTCTTCTGTTCTGAGAGAAAGCGCGACTCTGGCACTGGGTGGCCTGCCTTCTCTGAGGCTCACGGGATGTCTGGCTCTGGTGAAAGTAGTGCAGGGCTCCCGAGATGTGCGGACTCCTCGCAGAATCAGCTCGCATAGAGGTGGTTGGCACCCATGTGTTTCCGGCTGGCCTGGCCCCACTGGCCAGAGGTTTTGCATCCCCAGCGTGGCACTGAAGTTTCAGCCAAGGAGACGCTGGCCACCTCTAAGAGTCCCCTTCCCTTGCCACTCCATCTGCTTCCTCCGTGTTTGTAAGTCTTAAGAATGACTTGTTTTATTTACTATAAAACTAGGCTAAGTTTGCTGCTGGCACCAAGCAGGTCACAGCTTCTCTGATTTATCTCCTTGGAATGGATTCAACCCTGACTCTGGATTTGCCTATGGAATTTCACACGATGACAGGGAGGCAGCCATTTCCATCGAGTTGGCTTCTGTAGGTTTTCCCCGGGACCATAAGGCATGACTCTGGGGACATTAGAAGGCTGATGGACTAGTAAGCCAAAAAATTCCTGCAAAACCACCCTGAACTTTCCATTGCAGTTAAGTCCTTCATGGACATATAGGTGAAGGATTAAGTGTAGGAGAAAGGAAAATAGGGGGCGAGGGTAATCAACAATCCAGCAGTGAGAGGCCCCGAGGAATAGGTCATGAAGATCTGTGCTTTGGGAGGCACATACGGTGATCGATATCTTACATGATTATTTCCAAGATTTTAGAATGTCTTGAACATTCTAGTCCAACATTTCTACCCACAAATAAGCTCCAATGGGAGTTAGATTTCACTGATAATGAATACATGTTCACCCACATGTCTTTTGGCTGCAAAGTTAAACTTTAAAATGTTCAAAGAAAATATTTACTACAATTAAACACACACACACACACACACATAGGCAATTCTTGGAAAGGTGAGTGGCTAGCATATGTGTGCTAGAGGAGCTGGGCAGTGATAGGAGTCTATGATCACCCCACCTTCCCCCAGCCTCCTGGCCACTTGGGAATGAGGTCTCCAGGCGCAAAAGGCTGGGGCTGACCCCATAAGGTTGTCCTCTGCAGCCTCTGGAACCAGGACCAAGACAAAGCTGGGGGGCCCTTAGAGACCAAGGTACAGATGGAACTCTGAGGCCCAGAGAGGGAGGAGGGGTTTGAGTAGAGTCTTGGCTCACCCATGCCCAGGCTGACCTCTCTCTGTCCCTCCCGCAGGTGGCTGTATGAGGGCCTGAGCCGGGAGAAAGCTGAAGAACTGCTGTTGCTGCCTGGAAACTCTGGAGGGGCCTTCCTCATCCGGGAGAGCCAGACCAGGAAAGGTGGGTAAGCTGAGCCCTGGCTTGTCCCTCGAATGCCAAGAGGTGACTTGGGGGTATAGGTAGGAGGTCAAAAGTGAAGGGCTGGAGTACCTGGCCTTGGAGTCAGACAGTTTGGCTGACTGACCACCATGTTGCTGCCATGAAAGCCCATTTCTAAAAGTGGGTGTGAATGGCCCACAGTGGGGATCCAGGCTCAGCCTACACTTTGGCCATTGGGTCTTATAATAGAGTATAGTCACAGGATTTCCCTGCCCGGACCAGCAATGATTCCTCCCTCCCCAAAACACAACACAGTCCTGATCTCTTGGCAAAAAGTTGTCAAGTTCATGAGGTCTCTGTGTTCTGGGTCACCAGTCAGTCAAAACCAGAAAACTCATTAGAAGTCAGCTGTTGATCTTCTTTCTATTGTACAGATGAGGAAGATGGAGAAACAAAGGCTGAAGAGGGGTAGGGACATGTCACATTGCACATTCCTATGGGCCTTCTCCCACCTCAGGTATAGGACTTTTGCAAACACAAACCTGATAGAATCTGTCTCTGATGCCCCTGCCTCCCTCTGAGCTACTGCCCTGCGACCCTTACAGTGGGGGCAGAGAAGGACGTTGAAAGAGTGGCGATGCTGATGTTTATGGTAGGCCCTTTAAGTGTCTTCAAACAACCCTGTTTGAAGTTTGAAGGATTGTAGTTCCCCATTTTACAGATGAGGAAACTGAGGCTTAGGGAGGAGAAACAATTTGCCTGGGTAGACATAGCTATGAAGCTGGGATTCAAACCCAGCTGAGGTCCTCCTCACTTCAGACACCCAAGAAAGGCCCATGTGTCACAATGGTGGAATTGCAAACTCAGTGGTAGACTAGGGTGGAGAGACTCAGGAATGACAGGCCTCCTGTGCTTGCCCTAATTTAACCAACCAGTGGGTTGTCAGGGTCCTTTGCTCTCAGTCTCCCTCCCAGGGCCCCCTGCAGCACATCTTTGCCTCTCCTCCCCTTCCTTCAGAAACTCGCTGGGTTGACCTCTCCCCAGCCCCTCCTGCTACTTTCTGGACAGCATTACCATCCCCCCTTACACCCAAAGGCTGGCTGGGGCTTGAGGCTGGCCTGAGTGTAGGCTGCAAACAGGAAACCACAGCACTGGAGCTGATTGGGGCAGGAGTGCTGCAAACCAGGCCCTAGTGAGCTTGAGAAGCCACAGGAAGTGCTCTGTGCTCAACTGCCCCATCCCCACCCCTTCTCTGGCCTGGTTTAGCCATAACTGCATAGTGACCAGCACTTAATGTTCCTTCCTTTTTTTTTTTTTTTAAAGATTTTATTTATTCATTTGACAGAGAGAGAGACAGCAAGAGAGGGAACACAAGCAGGGGGAGTGGGAGAGGGAGAAGCAGGCTTCCCGCCGAGCAGGGAGCTCGATGAGGGGCTCGATCCCAGGACCATGGGATCATGACCTGAGCCAAAGGCAGACGCGTAACGACTGAGCCACCCAGGCGCCCCGACTTACTGTGCCTTCCTAAGAAGGCACATATACTCAAGGAACTGGCTGGGAAATACAGGAGAAAGCAGACAATGATCTTTAAAGATCCATAAACAGGGGAACCTGGGTGGCTCAGTTGGTTAGGTGTCTGTCTTCCGCTTAGGTCATGATCCCAGAGCCCTGGGATCAAGCCTGGCATTGGGCTCCCTGCTCAGCAGTGAGTCTGTTTCTCCCTCTCCCTCTGCCCCCCTGCCTGCTTGTGCTCATGCGCATTCTCTCTCTCTCAAATAAGTAAAATCTTTAAAAAAATAGTAAAGGGGCGCCTGGGTGGCTCAGTCATTAAGCGTCTGCCTTCGGCTCAGGTCATGATCCCAGGGTCCTGGGATCAAGCCTCGCATCGGGCTCCCTGCTCCGCGGGAAGCCTGCTTCTCCTTTTCCCCCTGCTTGTGTTCCCTCTCTGTCAAATAAATAAATAAAATCTTTAAAAATATAGGGGCACCTGAGTGGCTCAGTCGTTAAGCCTTCAGCTCAGTCTGCCTTCAGCTCAGGTCATGATCCCAGGGTCCTGGGATTGAGTCCCCCATCGGGCTCCCTGCTCAGCGGGAAGCCTGCTTCTCCCTCTCCCACTCCCCCTACTTGTGTTCCCTCTCTCGCTGTGTCTCTCTCTGTCAAATAAATAAATAAAATCTTTAAAAAAAATCTTTAAAAATATATATTAAAGATCCATAAACATACACATGATTTCTGGGATTCAGATTAGATTTGACTCTGAGCTTCGCCATAGCCAACCCCAAAAGGGGGTAGATCAGAATGCAGCTCTCATCACAAAAGAGATTTGGGGCGCCTGGGTGGCTGCAATCGTTAAGCGTCTGCCTTCGGCTCAGGTCATGATCCCAGGGTCCTGGGATCGAGCCCCGCATCGGGCTCCTTGCTCCGAGGGAAGCCTGTTTCTCCCTCTCCCACTCCCCCTGCTTGTGTTCCCTCTCTCACTGTCTCTCTCTCTCTCTGTCAAATAACTAAATAAAAATCTTAAAAAACAAAAGGAAGAGATTTGTCAGTTCTGCAGGAAAGGCAGAAGTTTCCCCAGTACTAATTTCTAATCTCTCATCTGAGTCTTCTTTAGGACAGTATTTGTCAAGCTGCAGGTTAAAACCCCTTTGTGTTCTAAGAAATCAGTTTAGTTCAGTGGTTATAGAGCAGTGGATCTCAAATCTGGGTGGCCATCATAATCAGCTAGAGTACTTAAAACAAAGAACTGGCCACCCACCCATATTTCTTATTTGGTGGGTCTTGGGCAGGGCCTGAGAATTTACGTTTCCAACAAACTCGCAGGTGATGTTGGGGACTACACTTTAAGAACCACTGATCTTGGGCGCCTGGGTGGCTCAGTTGGTTGAGCGACTGCCTTCGGCTCGGGTCATAATCCTGGAGTCCCTGGATTGAGTCCCGCATCGGGCTCCCTGCTCAGCAGGGAGTCTGCTTCTCCCTCTGACCCTCCCGATCCTCCCCCCCTCATGCTCTCTCTCTCTCATTCTCTCTCTCAAATAAATAAATAAAATCTTTAAAAAAAAAAAAAAAGAACCACTGATCTTGGGACACCTGGGTGGCTGTCAGTTAAGTGTCTGACTCTTGGTTTTGGTTCAGGTCATGATCTTAGGGTCATGAGATTGACCCTGTGTCCAGCTCTGTGTTCAGTGCAGAGTCTGCTTGAGAGTCTCTCTCTCCCTCTGCCCCTCCCCCTGCTCTCTTTCTCTCAAATAAATAATAATAATAATAATAATAATAGTAATAATTAAATAAAAAGAACCACTGATCTAGGGAGCACCTGGCTGGCTCAGTTGGTAGAGCATGTGACACCTGATCTCAGGGTCGTGAGTTTGAGCCCCGCGTTGGGCAGAGATTACTTAAAAATATTTTTAAAAATGCTGATCTAGACCTTGGCTTCAAGTTGGACTCATCTGAGGAGCTTTATAAATTACTGATGCCTGCACCCAACTCCCAGAGTTTCTGGGGCTTGAACCTACAACCCTCATGGGGCTCCAAACCCACAACCCTGGGATCAAGACCTGAGCCGAGATCGAGAGTCAGATGCTTAACCGGTGAGCCACCCAGGTGCCCCTGAGTTTCTGATTTAATTGGTCAGGGGTGTGGCTTTGGCCCTAGAAGATATAAAAGCCCCCTTGGTGATTCTGATATGCAGTGAAGGTTGGGACCCCTTCATTTAGTGGATCTGGACCAGGGAGTGTTTGAAGGGCAGAACACCTCAAGGTACATCACTGGGGTTGGGAAAAATATTGTTTCATCCTATTTTTGTTTTAGGTAACTTTTTAAAAAATTATATTTATTTTAACAATGAGTTTTGTTTTTGTTTGTTTTTAAGATCTGTGTATTTTAGAGAAAGAGCAAGAGCATGAGCAGGGGTAGGTGCAGAAGGGGAGGGAAAGAATCTCAAGCAGAGCCCGACAAGTGGCTCGATCTCACAACCCTGGAGAGGGGGAGAGAGAAAAAGAATCCTCAGACTCCCCCCTGAGCACAGAGCCCAACGCAGGTCTCGATCCAGGACCCCGAGATCATGACCTGAGCCAAAATCAAGAGTTGGCAAAAACTGACTGAATTACCCAGGTGCCCCTGATTTAGGTAATTTTAAGTGTGTCCTAGGTCACAGTGTAAAATTTCATACTGTGGTTTGTAGCCAAAAAATGTTTGGTGGCGCCTGGGTGGCTTAGTTGGTTAAACATCTGACTCTTGATCTCAGCTCAGGTCTTGATCTCAGGGTCATGAGTTCAGCCTCATGTTGGGCTCCACTCTGGGTGTGGAACCTAAAAAAAAAAAAAAAAAAAGGGCACTGCAGCTTTATGGGGCCTGAGTAACATCATAGAACACTAGTTCCGGGCCCCTTCCAAATCTATTTACTGGGCTCCAGGTCAGAAATCTGCTTCCTTCACAAGGTCTCTGGATGGTTCTTATGTTCTTTTAAGTTTGAAAACACAGTTCCATTCTAGGGGAACCAGAATTAAGTAGTAAGAGACAATGTTTTTCCAGCTGCAAAATGCATCAACTTTTTTTTTTTTAAAGATTTTATTTATTTATTTGAGACAGAGAGAATTAGAGAGAGAGAGCACATGAGAGGGGGGAGGGTCAGAGGGAGAAGCAGACTCCCTGCCAAGCAGGGAGCCCGATGCGGGACTCGATCCCAGGACTCCAGGATCATGACCTGAGCCGAAGGCAGTCGCTTAACCAACTGGGTCACCCAGGCGCCCCTGCATCAACTTTTCTTTGCATCAAGGTCCAAATATACCTCTGGGAAGGGAATTCTGCAGGGGAATTTGAGTCTGTGTGTGGACCGAGGAGGAAGGCCTGGGGTCTGTGAGCTCACAAGAACACCACTGAGAGTCGACTGGGGCGGGGAAGACCTCTCCATCTTCCCTAGGGTCCCTCTGGCTATACCTATTTATGTCCTAAGCCTGGGGAAAATTCATGGCAGAGCCTGAGTCAGGCCCCAAACCGTGGTCTGTGAAGGGGCACTGACGACTTTGTGGAGGTCCCAGGACTGCTCCAAAGGTCAGCACCAGGGCCACCTCCCTGCTGTCCTGGGTCTCTGTTCTTTGGTGGGCGCTTTAAGGAAGATGACAATCAAGCCATGCTTCCCACCACGGAGAGATTCACTTCTGTCCATTCTGGGAAGCATTTGTTGAGCATTTCTTCTGAGTCAGGCCTGCTAAGTCATGGTTCTTGTCCTCAGGCTGCAGACAGTGGTAGGTCCAAGGTACAGCATCCCGAGGCAGTCAGCTTCTCAGAGGCCTTAGCAGAGGAAGGTCAGGAGGGTCCTGCTAGGCCCACCTCCCACACACAGCTTCCAGTCTGATCCCTCATACCACTGTGGACCCCACCCCACCGCCTGGTATCAGCATCGGAACACCAGGGAAAACACGGTGCCTGACCCCAGAGGTTCCTGCAGGCCAAGATGTGACATTGGCTATGGAGCTGGAGCTTCCTGGAATCCAGGACATTGTACCTTCCGTGCCTTTTCCCCAGTGGGTCTCCCTCCAGCCCCTGCACCCAGCCACAGCTCCTACCTTTCTTTCCCGCAGCCTCTCTTCTGGCCCACTGCCCACCAGAACATTCATGAATAAACCACCTTGCTCTTTCCACTGCTGCATCCTTCCACACACTCCTCCCTCAGCCTTGGAAAGCCCTATCCTCCATTCTTCTACTTGGTGAACTCATACTCACCCTTCGTGACCCATTTCAATGTTATTTCCCCAGGCTATTTGCCACCATTTGCTCTCAGACCACTTCTGTAGCTAATGTAAACTTAGTTCTTAAAAGAAAAAAACAAAAACAAAACAAAAAACCAAACTAGGGTATGTGGGCTAAGAGCACAAGAACTAATATTTGAAATGGGGACCATAAAGGAAAATTCCAGCTGTGGGAAGTGCTGGCAGGACAGCACTTCCTTCCCAGAGTACGAAGATCCATTTACCATGTGGGGCCTTGTGCAGGGCATGTAGTCAGTGCTCAAGGGATGTATACTGAGTAAATGAAGGAGTGAATGAGTGCATGAATGGACATTAAGGGGAGGGGAAAGGATGAAGAGCTGGGGTGGACTTTCCCCCAATACCACATGTTCACAGACAGTGGGAGGCGTGCAAATAGTGGCAAAACACTCCTCCAAACTGCTTGTAATCACGGCTCCGTCCAGCCTGTATCCCAGAGATTCATTCATTCATTCAACAAATGGATATTGTGTGGTGACTCTGTGCCATATTGTTCTAAGCAGTGGGGATTCAAAGATATAAAAAGCAAAATCCCTGCCCACAAACCAATTGGCAAAATGGACAGTGAACACGTAAATACTGAAGTGTCTGATCATGGTAAGTGCCACATAGAAACAAGAAAGCAGCGTTAAGAGGAACAGGGTCATGGGACGTGTGCAGGTATACAGAGGCCCCGTGGTAGATGCATCCTCAGCAGGGGCAGGTGTGCTGGGAATCAGCAACACAAGGTCACTGGGAGTCAGGTCATGCAGGGTGTGTCCAGGGTGGGGACTTGGGTTCTCAGTAAGGGAGTGACATAAACCCATCCCTCCTGCAAAGAGAGGATTTGGGGGTGGGGTGACGAGGAAGCGGGAAGCCACCTGGGAGGTTGTTGCAGGCTCCGCCCAGGTGAGAAGTGGTTGGATTCTGGGTATGTTCTGAATATAGCCAGTAGGGTTTGCTGTCAGGCTGTATGTGAGGTAGGCCAGGGTTAGAGTTCAGTGACAGATGCACAGTGCTGCAGGTTTCTGAGGTGGGCAGATGGAGGAAGGGTACATCAGAACCATCTTTCAGCAGGCTCACGGTTGGTTGTGTGTGTTTTGGGCTGAGGGACAGGCGATGGCAGAGCAGGACTCTTGGTGCCACAGAAGCACTGCTGCCTGGGCAAGCTTAGGGCTGGGGCTTCTCCGCAGCAGGGAAGGTGTTCTGGAAGGAAGTTGTCTGAGCAGAACTGAGTTGTAAAGGGAAGACTGGTGGTTACTCAGGTGGAAGGGTGTTCCCTACAAAAGGAACAGTGTGAGCAAAGGAGCATAGGCCTGATACAGGTTATTGGGTGCTTGCTACATGCCAGACACCGCTAAATGCTTTCCCTGCTTCACCACTTGAATCCTTGTGCTGATGAGACTGGGAGAATTGTTATCCCCCTTTACAGATGAGAAAACAGATCTGCGAGGTCAAATAATGTGCCTGGAGACACAGCTAGTGAGCACGGGGCAACAGGGGTGTTCTAGCATGTGGTTGTGTGTGGGCTTTGAACCCAGGGAGTCTGAGTTAAAGTGGAGATGTCCTGGAACTGGGAGAGAGCAGTAGGTATTTGCGACTGGCTGGAACATGCAGTGAGAAGGAATGCAGGATACCAGCCCAAGGCCAGTCACAGATGGCATTGGTAGGTGACCTGTCTCCACAGTGGGGTTGTCAACCCTACATGGTGTTGATGGAGCTTATTATCCCTGAGTCTACCAGCTAGATACTCAGTGTAGCCACCCTCCCTGGTTTTAGTAACTGTGGTAACAGTGAGCAAAATGAGGTGGCTGGAGAACCATGCAGAGGATATAGGGACTTGGTTACTTAATTCAGCTGGGTTGGTTGGCCTTCAGGCCTTATTTCAGGAATTCAGCTCTTTTTCTTGCCTTATGGTACTGCCTAGGACCTCTAGTACAATGAATAAAGTGGTGAGAATGTTCTTGCTTTGTTCCCAGTGTTAGGAAGAAAAATTCAGTCTTTCTTATTAAGTATGATATTACCTATAGATGTTTCACAGATGCTCTATATCAGGTTGAAAGTAGTCTCCTGTGGTAGGCAGAGTAACAGCCCCCGCAAAGATGTCCAGGTCCTAATCTCTGGAACTTGTGAATATTATTACCTTACATTGCAAAAGGGAGTTTGTAGATGTGACTAAGTTGAGGATTTTGAGATGGGGCAACTGTCATGGATTATTCAGATAAGCCCAATGAAATCACAGGGGTCTTTATAAAACAGAGGCAGCAGGATCAGAGTTTGAAAGAGACTGGAGATGAATGTTATGCTGCTGGCTTTAAAGATGGAGAAAGAGCCATGAGCTAAGGGATGCAGGTGGCTTCTAGGAACTGGAAAAGCAAAAAATAGATTATCCTCTAGAGCTTGCAGAAGAAACAAATCCTGCTGACACCTTGATTTTAGTTCAGTGAAACCCATTTCAGATTAAGCCACTGAATTTGTGGTATTTTGTTATAGCAGCAATAGGAAACTATTACACCTTCTGTTTGTAGTTTTGTGGTGGTGGTTTTTTATCAGGATGAGTACTGAATTTTGTCAAATGATTTTTATACATTTTTTCAGGTGATCATGTTTTTTCTCCTTTATTCTATTTATATAAGAATATATATATATTTTTATATATAAAATATATAATTTAATTTTTTTTAAAGATTTTATTTATTTGACAGAGAGTGAGAGAGCATAAAGAGGGACAGCAGCAGAGGGAGAGGGAGAAGCAGGCTCCCTGCTAAGCAGGGAGCCCAACGCAGGGCTCCTGAGCTGAAGGCAGACTCTGCCCTCCCCCTCCCCAAAATAAATGAATCTTAAAAAAAAAAAAAAAAGGGTGCCTGGCTGGCTCAGTCGGTAGAGCATGTGACTCTACCGACTACTGAGCATCTCAGAGTACTCAGTTCAAGCCCCACGCTGGGCACAGGGATTACTTAAAAATATGGTAAACCTCAAACTAAACTGATTAAGGGGAAAAAAAAAAAGGCAATAAATTACCAGTGTCGGGGTGTAGAGCTTCCTCAAAAAAAAATGGGGCACCTGGGTGGCTCAGTTGGCTAAGCGTCTGCCTTCAGCTCAGGTCATGATCCCAGGGTCCTGGAATCTAGCCCCATGTCAGGCTCCCTGCTCCTCGGGGAGCCTGCTTCTCCCTCTCCCTCTGCCTGCCTGCTTGTGCACTCTCCCTCTCTCAAAAAAAAAGGTTAAAAATATTTGCTAATGGGCACCTGGGTGGCTCAGTCGGTTGAGTCTGGCTTCGGCTCGGGTCGTGGTCCTGGGGTCCTGGGATCAAGTCCCAAGTTGGGGGAGCCTGCTTCTCCTTCTGCCCCTCCCCCCTGCTCGTGCTCTCTCTCCCCCTCTCTCAAATAATTAAAAATCTTTAAAAATATTTGCTAATTTTTTTTGTGATTTCTTCTTTGACTTCTGGGTTATTCCCAAGTATTTGGGGATTTTCCAGATATTTTGTTAATTTATAATTTTATTCTGTTGTGGTCAAAGAACATAACTATTTTTTTTAAGATTTTATTTATTTATTTGAGAGAAAGAAATTGAGGGAGAGATGGAGCAGGGGCAGAGGGAGAGGAAGAAGCAGACTCCCTGCTGAGCAGGGAGCCCAGTGTGGGGCTTTATCCCGTAACTCCATGATCATGACCTGAGCCGAAGGCACTCAACTGACTGAGCCACCCAGGCGCTCCCACAACTATTTTTTTTTAAGATTTATTTATTTGAGAGAAAGAGGCAGCGCACAGGGAGAGGCAGAGGCAGAGGGAGAGGTACTGATTTATCTTTCCACCAGCACGGTAAGAGTTCCTCCTTCAGCACGTCCTTGCGGGCATCTACTGACACGTTTTCACATTCTAACACTTCTGCCCACTTGAGTCTATAATAGCCACACTTAATAGTCATGTAAACTGTGCCCAGCCCTGTGCTGCGTGCTGTGTGATTGATCTCATTTCATCCTCACGAGAGCCCTATCAAGAATGTGTGGTCATTTATGGCCAAGAGAGCAAGTCTTCGCCCCTCCCCTGTCCACTTCCCTTCTGTCTGGGCCCGGTAGCCATTCTCAGCTTTCTTCTCCCAACTTGGGTTGGGATGGGTCCCAGTAGGGCCTCAATCCTGCCCGGAACGCTTTCCTCCTCAGGTTGTTACTCCCTGTCAGTCCGCCTTAGCCGCCCTGCATCGTGGGACCGGATCAGACACTACAGGATCCACTGCCTTGATAATGGCTGGCTGTACATCTCACCACGCCTCACCTTCCCTTCACTCCAGGCCCTCGTGGATCACTATTCTGGTATGGCCTTCCCATTAGACTGGGATGTGGGGTGCAGGGGGCAGACAGTTGTGCCCTTAGACACTTTACCTGCTGGAGAATATCCAGACAGGCAGAAGAGGGACCTCTCCATCTCCATGCCAGTTCCTGTGCTAAGAACATAGGCTGGGGAGCTCTGTCTTCATCCCATGCCCTGACAGAGCCACATAGACCTCCCATGTGGTTCTGAGTCCAAGACCTCAATGGCAGGCACAGTTCTCTCCACAGGAACTAGGCCCAGAGCTGTTGCTGTTGTGCGATTCAGTTGACTCAGCATTTCCGGGTGCCTGTCCTGTTACAGGGCCTGGAGCATGCAGCCAGGAGGGCAGTGTCAAAGGGGCAGAAAGGAAAGACCACTCCTGGTAAAACTGATCAGGTGTTTCCTAAAGGGTGGGTCCATGCAGTAGATACTGACAGAACACGTAGAGATGAAGTATTTTCTAGCTTTCTTCTTCCTAAAGCACTTTCCTAACCAGAAACTGGCACTCAAAGAGGTCCATCAAACTACCCAAAACCACAGCAAATTAAATCTTCAAAACCTAGCCTAGAATGACCTGATTGCATCTCAGCCCCTAGATCACAGCTTGAGGCTTGTGCCCTGTCACTTTTTTAAAAATGTAATCTATACACCCAAAGTGGAGCCTGAACTCATGACCCTGAGATCATGAGTCTCTACCGACTGAGCCAGCCAGGTGCCCCCGTCATTCTTTTTTGACCATGCCTCCACCTGCCAAATGGGGAAAGCTGTCAGGGTGAGGGTGGGGGTTGTTAGGGAGGGTAAAGTAGGGCTGGAGTCAGCCATGTCAAGGGTCTAGGTCTCTTTCTCAGAGTTGGCGGATGACATCTGCTGCCTCCTCAAGGAACCCTGTGCCCTGCGGAGGGCTGGCCCGCTCCCTGGCAAGTCCCTACCCCTACCTGTGACTGTGCAGAGGGCACCACTCAATTGGAAAGAGCTGGACAGGTAAGGGGACCCTTGGAACATGAAGGCAGAACAAAGGAGAAAGAAGGACCCACCCCTGGGAACCCACAACCCCAAATGAGCCTGTCACCTTTGGGGACACTGGCGAGCCAGGCTCAGCAGGACTGTAGGGGGACTGGCAGGAAGGAGGAAGACGGAGTGGATAGAGGGCATGCCCAGATGCCAAAGATGGCCAGGATGGAAGGTCAGACAAGATGGGGTAGAACAGAAAGCACCAGTCCTGAATGGAGAAGTCAAGCTGGGGTTTTATCTGACAGAGAATAGGGAGCCACTGAGAGTTTTCAGGTGGTGTGAACTTGAACTGTGGTGAGAGCAGGGAGGAGGATGAGGCTCCTTGACCCAACTCTCTTCCCCTCTCCATAGCTCCCTCCTGTTCTCTGAAGCACCTGCCTTAGGGGAGTCCCCTCTCCTCAGCGAGGGGCTCCGGGAGGCCATCAGCTCCTACATCAGCCTGAGTGATGACAGCTCCTTGGATGATGCCATGGCCCAAAGCAGAGGCCAAAAGGGAATCCAACGCTGCAGCACCTAGACCCCCAGCTCAGCTCAGCCTGAGCACTCCAGAGGCAAATTCAGGGTCCCACTTGTATCCTCTGCTCCTTCCTGTCTCAGCCCCAAGAAGTCACTTAACCCTCTCCCAATGCCATGAACCCACCTGCAACCTCTAGTTCAAGTAGAGACCAGCTGAAAACAGGGACAGGGCTCCAAAGAGACTAGGCCTCTGGGGTTTGACACAATTTGACCTGAGTTTGGGATTTCCAGAACCATCTTCCTCCCCTGCCTATTGAGTCCCCTTCTACACCCCCACAGTTCCACCCACTAGGTAGAAACCACCACTAGCATCAAGAAGGAAAAAAAAAAAAAAAAAATTTAAAGAGAATCTACAAGTCTCACTCAGAATACCATACTTCAGAAGGTAGGACTGTGGCCTAGAAGACAGGAAAGCAAAGGGATGGATGTCTTCCCACAGCAACAGAACCGGAATGCCCAGCCTCCACCTGGCCCCCCAGAGCAAAGGGGACCTCTGACAGTCCAGGTCTCAAACAGCCCCATCAAACCTCTTCTCTGGACAGTCCTAGCTCCAAGATCTCTATTTCATTTTGTGGCTTATCATTTGAATCTGCCTAAGCTTTCCTGGCTACAGTGGCCTTGCTATCTTGTGGCCAAACCCAAAATGGCACCTTCTGGGTCTAGCACACTGCGGTGGTCAGTCACGTCTCTCAGCACCGGGCAGGAGCATCAGAAGTCAGTAAGCCTCTCTCCACAAAGCCAAGGCCACAGCCTACACCAACTCTAGCCCTTGATTTCCCTGCTGCCCATTAAGGAAGACAGGCCTGGCTGGAGCTACTACAGGAGCAGGGAGAGGAGGAAGAGGGATGAGGATGGAGGGTAGGGTTCTGAGGCTAGAGGTGATGTGAGAAAGGCTTTAATAGGTATCATCAACAGGTTCTCAATTAAAGATTTGATTTATTCAAGTACCCGAAAACGTTCTACAAGGAAAACTTATTAGATGCTGCTTGTACTGTGCTATGGACCACGCACATACTGCCACTCTGTTTTCAGAAGACTTGAAATGCCACTGATAGTTTAAAAACTGTACACCTGATGGAGAAGTGAGGAAGACAATTTAATGTTTCATCCGGATCCAGAGGTGCATCAAATTAAATGACAGCTCCGATCAGCAAACAGGTGTTTCATGATGATATCCAAGAAGGAATGGTTGGTGATGGACAATTCAGAAATGCTTCCCCAAAAGGCGGATGGTTCTTTAAAAAGTTTCAGATCACAACCCTTGCAGAAAACACTGATGCCCAACACAATGATTCTTGGTCCAGGAAACATGGGTCTTCCAGGTTCCACGTGGCTGGGGTGCCCCTACAATCATGTTTCTGTGCTGTAACTACGAGGGTCCTTTGGACCGGACAGAGAGTAGGTGGGGTCTGTACACCATCAGTCATAGTGGATGGCAGTGTAAAAAATGATCCAAATGACCTAGAGAGGAGATAAGCAATGGTCGTAGGTCACCTGGGTCAACACAGGCACCTATTCCACAAAACAAAAATGTCAAAGAATGTGTGCACAGTGGGCTTCCCAGGGGTTATTCAATGCAATCAGCCGGGAGGCCTAAATAAGTTCACTGAAATGAAGCTGTCTCTGACAGAGCCCAGGATCACCCACAGTGCTACCAAAGAGACCATGGACAAGCTTCCCTCTCAACCAAAAAGCAACTGGAGCACCAGGGAGTGGAGTTATAGATGTGGAACTGATACAGGTAAAGGGTTAGGATTAGCAACAAATGTGAAAAACAAACCACCACCATACCCTGTCAGCTTCATATCAAATAAAGCAGAGGTTCTCAAAACTGGTTATTCACTGCAATCTCCTGGGACCTTAATACATATGTATGCCCAGGCACCCCCACCCAGGGATTTTGATTTTACTGATTTGGGCCAGAGTCTACAATTTTTAAAAAAAATTAATTTTGAGATATGATTCATATTTCATAAAGTTCACCTTTTAAAGTATTTAATAGAAAAAAAAAAATATATATATATATACAATACAGAGGTTTTTAGTATATTCACAGAGTTGTGCAAAGATCACACTGATTCTGGAACATTTTCATCATCCTCAGTTTCTTCCCATTTCTCTGTCTGTCTCCCCCCTCCCCCCGGTCACTGGCAACCACTCATCTACTTTTTTTTTTTTTTATCTGTGTGGATTTGCCTATTCTGGACATTTTACATAAATGGAATCACGTAACATGTTTTGTGTCTGGCTTCTTTCACTCAGCATAACGTTTTCAAAATTCATCAAAGTTGTAGCCCCTACCAGTACTTTATATTCCTTTTTATGGTCGAATACCATATGGATATACAACATTTTATTTATATCTACTGACCAGGTGATGGTTGTTTGTGCTTTTCCAGCTATTATGAATGCCATAAATGTATTTGTAAATGTTTCCTAGTTTCTATTATGCAACCACATTTGAGAATCAGACGTAGAAGCTGATGACAGGCCCTGGGTGTGTAGACCAACAGGGAGACTACAGTGTACCACACCACATCTTTTGTGACAACTGGACTGATGGAGGAAATGCCCTCCAATCCCTGGAGCCTTTTGGAAAATGGTACACCCCAATCACAAAGTGTAACCCAATCAGTGTGCTCCCCTTGAGAAACAGCAGGATTTACTATATAACTATCAGCTATACATACCATGAACAAGGCAAAAGATGTCATAAACCCTTCTTTTGTGAGCTCCCATGTGCCACCATATTCTTCCTCATCTATCTGTAGGTAGTTGCTGAAGTAGAGATACAGGACTCCTGCATTGATCAGGCAGAATCTGGAGGGAGGACAAGCACCAAACACAAACTATGAGCTCAGAAGACTTAGAACTCCACTATCACAGTCCAGCCCTACCAGGACACTCACTGTTGCACAGTTAAGTACTTGTATTATGGGGACAAGTGAAAAATAATACATGGACCTAGACCCTCAATGGAACTGCCCAGTGGTTGAGCTAGAGGCATAAAAAGCAACTTTTATTTAGATGCCCAGCAAAAATTTTTTTAAAAAATTTAAAAGCACACAAAAGTTCTCCAAGCTCCTTCAGAGTAAGAGAGAATAGTAGCCAAACCATCCCAAACCAGGACTAGTACCTGACATGGGCCTCCAAGTAGCTCCAGCTGGGGTGGGGTGGCCATGGGACAAATACACGTCAGGCTGCTGCTTCATGGCCTAGTGGAACAAGCAAGCGAACTAAAGCAGCTCCTGCATTCATTCCCAGTGGGAGACAATTTCCAGATGTCCACTGGCTGCTACTGCACTTGATGCAGAGGTGAGCACTGACAGTTCCTGCTCTACCTCAGCCACCTATTCGGAGGCCAAAAGCAGCCGTGAGCATGGAACTGAAACCACAGGTTCGTGAGCACCTCCAGGAAGGTCTCTGATCCCCCATATTGTATTAACTAATGAAGCACTTAGAATGCAGTGAAGTGTAATGTTATCACCCTGATCTACTTATCTCTTGGTACACTCATCACGTAGAAATTTTTGTAAAGTGATCAACACTTTATGATCTTCCAAGTTACAGCATCTAATTTAATGGGGGACTATATGTTTTAGGCCACACTGCTCCTGAAGGCTGCGGTGGGGAAAATGCAAAGAACTAGTTCCTCGTAATGGATGAAGTGTAGGCTGGTGTGGGGCAGGGCAGTATGATGATGCTGAGGAGTGTCCATCAGTATAAGGGGTAGGGGGCAGACCCTGGGGCTGTTTGAGCATGAGACAGAGTATACATACGTCAGAAGTCTAGTTTTTTTGTTTTTGTTTTAAAGATTTTATTTTTAAGTAATCTCTATACCCAACCAGGGGCTCAAACCCATAACCCTGAGATCGAGAGTCGCATGCTCTACTGGCTGAGCCAGCTAGGCATCCCAGAAGTCTAGTTTGTGAGGAAAGTATAGGCTTTCTCATGAGTTGGGGGAACAGGAGCTGGGAGACTGGTTTAGACTTGTACCATGTTTTATGACATGAGCAGAAATAAAGCTTGAGGACAGGGACTGGGAAAATGGCTGAATGGGGAGGTAAGAGACTCAAAGTCTTCAAGCCTAAGGGTCTGGGAGTATAATGGTTCCAGTAACAGGCAGGGAGCCAGGAAGAGCAGGTTTTTCTTGGATTTCACACAAAATACAGTCCTTGGCTTGGTCATGTTGTAGCCACATCCTTATCTTCTGCCAGAAATCTTGGGACCTAGCCAATCTGGCTGCCTCTCTCTGTCAGGAGTTTCATTTTGTTTTGTTTTTGAAAGACTGATTTATGTATTTTAGAGAGAGCACACATGCGTGAGCGGGAGGAAGGGCAGAAGAGGGAGACAGAATCCTCAAGCAGACTGCCCGCTGAGCACAGAGCCCAATGCGGGGCTTAATCCGAGGACCCTGAGATCATGACCTGAGCTGAAATCCAGAGCCGGGCGCTCAACCAACTGGGCCACCCAGGTGCCCCATGGAGATTCATTTTGGACAGGCTGTTAGTGGTTCCAGACAGAGATTACTAGCAGGACTCAGAAATGTTACTCTGGGATTCAGCTAATAAGCTAGGGCTGGAGAATGGCTGAGACTCATTGTGAGTCTCTGCCTATGAAAGTGGTTGCTTAGTGATACGATATAGGGAAATGTGAGGAAATAAGGGATGACAGAAAGAAAAGAGCTAACTGGGCCCCTGCCTTCCAAGGGTCACACACTAAGTAGCAAGTGAAGTCACAGAAACAAAGGCCTTTAAACGTCTGGTGGTCAAGGGGGAGGGCTCAGGAAAGGACTGGAGGGGCTCAAACTGAGCTTTAAAGATGGGTATACATCCAGGGGCGCCTGGGTGGCTCAGTCGTTAAGCATCTGCCTTCAGCTCAGGTCATGATCCCAGGGTCCTGGGATCGAGCCCCGCATCAGGCTCCGTGCACCGCAGGAAGCCTGCTTCTCCCTCTGCCACTCCCTCTCCTTGTGCTCCCTCTCTTGCCGTCTATCAAATAAATAAATAAAATCTTTAAAAAAAAAAAAAAAAACGGGCATAAATCCTGTATTGTAAACGGGGGAGAGAATTACACAGATGTATAGACAAAGAAATGAACGTGGATTGGGGCTGAGGAAAAAAACCTTACAAAGACTCTCCAATGCACTTTTTAAAACTCTATCCTAAAAATTCAGAATTTTAACAAAATAATGAACCTCTAACAAATACTCTGATTTCAGGGCTGGGAGGCTACATGACAATAGTAAGGTATGACCCTGCTTTCAAGGATTGATAGGAATTCATTTCAGGTTTTAAAAAATTTTAACAAGCATTCACTGAACACCTATTAATCATTATGCCGGGCTCT